AAGTCTCAATGTATAGATAGCAGCACTGACAAAAACATTTGAGATGATGTTTTGTCATAATACTGTATATCAGCTACCACTTATAGATGGTGCTTTTCTAAGATCTCCCCCTAGTTCCCTTAATTTAAGCTAAATAACATGGAAGTAGAAAAAAGAGCTGAAAAACAAATGAGGCAATGGTAAGCAAAGGAAAATTCTAAGCATCAGGAAACTCCGCAAATTTCAGCCGCTCTAACATGATAGGAAAATATTTCTCGGAAGACATTGTGACATGGAATAAAGGTAAGGTAAATGAGGAAGAGGAGAGGATGATAGAACTATCTTCAGCTTGTTTTGAACTCATAATCTGTTTCCAATCTGGTAACTACCATATGTAGAATATGGAAAATTTGCTGCCAATAACTACTTTTCCTTCCATTTCAGTGGAATGACTTAATAAGACGACATATGAATCTCTATTTTGAAACTTAATTGGATAATTTACATGGACAGCTGGCTGTGGTTCGGCTTAACCTTTATTCTACTTTCTTAAGAATGAGGGAGCTAATGGGATGCCATTTCTTTTGAAATATGGATGTTCCTATAGAAGACAATATATCTAGTTTAGGGTGGAACTGTGATGTTGTTGGTGCTCTTCGAGCTTGGTTGCTTGCTTCAGGCGCTTTATTACCCCCCCCCCCAAAAAAAACCATAATCAGTTTGAGTAAGTGGCTCTTTGCTTCCCTCTTTACACAGAGTACCTTGCCCTGAGCATGTTAGTGGAGCTGTGGTTTGCTCCTTGGTGGACTTTGATTGGGGAATTATTTTCTGCTTGATTGTTTATCGGGTATTAATCCCTGCTTATCTGGATGTTGGCTGCTAGAGAGGATGTGATGTGATCTTTTTGTTTCCTTCTTAGCTTTTTTATTGTATTTTTAATTGTGTGCAAATATGGTTTATCTGTCTGTTGGTGGCTGATTTGTCTAAATGCCAAACTTCCATGAATTCCCTACTGTTTTTGCATTTAGCTTAGTCTAGGATGTTCACAGTTTTTCAGCTGAAACTGTGTTGAGTGTATAAGTCTAAATCGAAATGTCTCAAACTGAAAAGTTTTCTAAGTATATTCATTACACTAATAAGAACACAAATCAACTCTCAAAATTGAGAAATATCAGCCTTGCCAAATTTCCAGAGGTTTTGAATGTCAACTTCTTTAAAAGCTAGGTACTGATTATAATGGAGGTATAATAGAGAATTGTTTTCGTTGTTGAAATAATCCTATGACAACAGTTATTGTTTTTAAAAGAAGCAAATATTATTATCTCTTATCAAATCATGTAATCATACCAATATTCCAGAGACTTTAAAATGCTTTCCACTCCTTTACCTACATCTGCTTAAGTCCTGGGGTTAACTATAACATAGTGATGAAATCTTGCTGCTCCTTCAACACAATGTGCCAATGGAATGTGCTTTTTCTTATGGAAATTTCTTCCCTCTGCAATACGTTCTTAGGCAGAAGGCCAAGCACCATAGCCATCCAAGAAATTGCAGTTCATTACTGCCACAATATCACTGTGAGAACCCAGCATTTATCTGCAGTTCCAACAGTGAAGTGATATTGGATAGTGTCAACTATATGGCTTAAAATTAATTTCCCTCCTACAGGCTTCACAACAATGCCGTTTAAAGGAAAACTCATTTTCTTGTGATGGCTGTTTTCTTCTCGGCATTATTTATATTAGCAGTAGTGTATCAACTGTATTTCATTACATTTAATCCAAGTGGGGGGGGGGGGGGGGAACCACACAATTAAAAAAATCTGTAAAACTTTCCAGTCTGCTGCTGTTTTTTAAATAAAAGAAAACGAAGGCTTAGCAATTAACAGTGATGTTTACATTTGAAGATTGAGAGGACTGCAAAATGCAATATTTGCCCAGTAGCTTGAGAAGATTGGCTGGAAAAAGCCAAATGGCTCCCATAGTTCACTTTTGAGGGACTCATCAATAGGAAGACAGCTAAATGACCAGACTAGTCAGCCATTTATTGTAAGAGATCTCGTGTAACTTCCTGAGAGATCAATAGAATCTATATCTCCTTTATGCCTATCTCAATGGTGCTTAAACTTAGTTACAAATTTGATTTAGATTGCATGAATGGCATTTATAGGGAAGACTGTTGACCCACATATCAAACATTTAATACAGCTGCCCTCCAAAACTCAGAAACTTTAATTCCCTACAGATATTTTCCATTTGGAAGCTACAAATATTCATATGTTATGCAGAAGCATCCAAAATATCTCTGAAAACTGGAGAAAACAATAGTTGCTCACTGGTGTTAAAAAACAGATCTTGTTTTTTTTAAAAAAAAACAAAACAAAACACCACCTCTGCATGTTTTAACCATCTAACTGGGATCAACTAGTTTCTTCCACACTATGATATTGTGCACACACTCATTGGAACTTTCTATTTGTTCTGACTTCATATGTTCCTGACCTGAGTTCTTAATGGAGTGGAACATTCCTCTTACGTTCAGATGAACCTTCAGAAATGAAGAAGCTTCTTGGATGAGAAGTGGAACATTTTCAAAGAAAAAAAAAACTAAGGAAGTCCAGTTGCGTTTTGGAAAAAGCATCTTTGGGACAACCATGACCTGGATGTTTGAGAATCTCCATAGATATTCAGATGAACTTTTTCCAACCAATGTAAGCAAGAAATATTCAGAAATTTATTTTATTTGTACCATCCATATATGTATTGCAAAAGTCATAGTTGTATTTTTTAAAAAAATACAATTCCTGATTTATTACTATTTCAGAATGGTAATGCTGCAAGAGAAACTATATCTGGGAACTTGTTATGGCCTTGACATTGTTGGCTATTAAAATGTTTTTCTTCAATCTTAAGAAATGTCATAATAAAAAAACAAAAAAAGAAGGCCAAGGCCATGTAAAAGTCAAGATTTATATTTCTGGTTGGGACAATCAGCATATTTTCTTAATAATAATTTAAAAAAACCTCTTCAGCCTCCACACTTAAAAGCTGCAATAGACACCTTATCAGGTGTGTGTGTGTGTGTGTGTGTGTGTGTGTGTGTGTGTGTGTGTAGGCAGTATTTTTCCCTTCTGTGGTGTACTACATGGCTGTACACTAAATTTATACATAGAAAGCATGCAGCTGGGTCAGTGGGAAGAACCTCAATAGATGAAAAAGCAGGTGTTTGTCAGGAAAAAGATAAGCACTAATACTTTCTTTCCCTGGGGAAAAATGCAAAAATAGCACTTTTTATTTGGCTTCTTTTTAACCAATTATTTGGTTACAGAGCATGCAGATGTTGATAGCACCAAATAAGGAAGTAAAAATAGGAAAGGGGCAAATGAAATTGTATAGTATGTAACATGGACTTGGAAGTGTTTTCATCTTGGTGGTCTTTGCTAGCTAGCTTGAATAACAACACAAGAAGTATGCTCCCTCCCTCCTTTCACTGACATACAGGTAGACCTCAAGTTACAACAGTAATGCTCGTTACGGTCATAAGTTGTGATGGATGTAAATCAGGTCACCCACATGATCAACCTGATTATATCACTTTTGTGGTGGTCTTTAAGCAACCACCGTGGTCATTAAACAATATTGTGGTCATTAAATGAACTCATGGTTTACTATGGTCTGGTTTTGCCAAAAAACAAAAGTAAATGCTGGTTTTCGAGAAACCATTGTAAAACACAGTCCTATCTCTGTGGGATGCTAACAGTGGCCATAAATGCATGCCAGTCACGTGAAAATGAGGGGGCCAGTCATTGGAATTTCAAATCTGGGTCATAAGTAACTCCAGAGAGGTCCATTATAACTTTGGATGGTGACTAAAGAGACTGGCTATAAGTCAAGGACTACCTGTACATCAAAACCCAACCGGTAGGTTCTACTCCATCCTGTTAACATTGCTTAATAATGCACACATTCAGAGAGAGCCTAACAATGCAGTCAGGAAAGTAGATGCAGCCTGATGCTTCTTGAACCAAGCCATGCCATTCAGACTACAGAGGCAGGAGCAAGCACTGCATTTTTCAACTGCAACCTATACAGGTCACCTGCAAAGAAAAAACAACTGTAGTTCGGCTCCCTAGGGAATTTCTATGCAGTCATTCCTTATGCCAGAAAAATAAAATGTTTCACTTTGAAAAAAATAATACAGTAGAGTAATGCAGAATTTGTTTTATCTGTAAAGGAACCAAGGAAATAAAATCACAGAAATGCCAACTCTCCTTTAAAAAAAAGCAATATTCAACTTCTTCTGGTGTTTATTGTGCACAATAGGAGGGAGGTACAAAAAAACCCAGATCCCACCTCTATTTTTTACACACACACACACACACGCAAGAAATGTCATTACCACATCTATATCCATATCAGTTTTCATCTTTGATGTAAATTATTAGAACCGATTCAGCCTTTGTTGGACTGCTTCCATTCATGGCTGAAACAAATGTCTGCTTGCTTCGTTAGACATGTACAAACATACAAACATTCTAGAATATATTAATCCATTCACTTAGAAATTGAGAGATCCAATTTGGTGTATTTCTTTTCTTTAATCTACATGAAATAATATTCACAACTATAGTTAACCCCTTGGCTGGCAAAGGAATATTCAACACTGTATGTTTATGTGGTGTGAAACCCATTTTTCCCCCACTCTTAAAATATTTAAGTTGATGCTCATGATTTCTTTCAATTACCACATATTTGCCACACTCTTGTTTGAAACCATAAGAATACCCGAAGGCCAAAAAACTCATTGGGAACAGTGCTTCAAAAATTCATAATTTGCTGGAATGCAAGAAGAAAGAACTCATAAAACCAATATTGTATAAAAATAAAAGGCTAGGATCAAGTTTATAAAATCAAGCATCTTAAACAGTCCTTAACATTCAATCCTTTTTTCATACAGCAGACATGATGAAAACATTGATTAGCACTTCTCCTCCCCCCCAATATCAAAGAAAAGATACACACCTGACATCCACTTTTCGCCTAAATGAAAGCATGAGGAACAGGATAAAAGAGAATGAAAGACAAATAGACAGAGCTTAGATTAGAAGTGCAGTTTTGGAACAGTATTGAAAGTGAGAAGAGTATATTGGACTGAACATTTCCCTTTTCTTTCATAGAAACAAGGCATTTCATAGTGGGCATCTCCCTCCCTCCCATTTTCAATGCAGCTCTTGAAAGTTTTAAAATTGCTTCCCTCAGAAAAGCCAGCTTCATCCCAATTTCACAGTGACAATCCAGGAAAAAAACACTTCAGAAAAGTAGGAGAACATGACAGATGTGTGAAACAATGTTTATGTGCAACTGGCTGCCAATATTGATGGGCTGTCTATACATTTTTCATTTCCCTTTCTTATTTTGCAGGTGTGGATGGATGATCTATCTCCATGGTACAAAGTGGAACTTTGTGTTAAGTCCAATATGTTGGGAGGGGGGTTAACAGTAGAGTGAGGTCATCTCAAAATAGGAGAGGACTGCTCCCTGATGCTTCAACTGGTATAAGAATTCAATATATTTGTTTAATAAAGGACAACATGGAGGTTCTATTGGCAACTCTACAGAAGGGAAGGGTGATGCATTATGCCCAAGAATTTGAAGTGGTTGTACTTCTTGTGAAATGGGCTACAATTCTCCATGGAATAGGCTTATTCTATATTGCTTAACCTAGCCCGATTCAGGTCTTGATTCCGCTGGAGACTATAGTTGTTGGAAGCTTTCAAGCCTAAAACTGGGATGTTTTACAGATATTATAAGACTGTCTGAGACACTTCTCAGGCAGATCTTGATGGTGTATCTAACGTTTAATTTGTGTCATTCTTTCTCTAGCTGGATATTGCAGTTGTAGCCAAAGGAAGGCACAATTGTTTCCTGGCCCTGCTGAAAAACATAAAGTTTGGGTCCAGGTTCAGACTGATGGGTAGAAGGCCATGTCCCTCACCTTGAAGCACCTTCTGATAACCACTGCTTGAGAGTATTTCTCACCTTTGCAGATGACATATAAAGCTCCCTTTTAGTCCTTAGTCTCAGGATATCATTCAGGCCCTCTCCAAATACTTTGCCAATACTGAATAGACCTGATAGAAGGACTGACTTTGATTCTGAGTCCATGTTGCGGTGTCTCAATGAAAGTTTTCCCCTAATGGCCACATTGGCTACTATGCCTCTGGCTGAAAAATGGATTTTACCCAAGTTAGTCTCCACAATGAAAGAGACAGACCCAACTATGGGCCCCTATCTATGACCTGTAAGTGGTAAGCAAATTTAAGTGCTTGGTCCATAATATAGAGGCCATAAACTAGATTAATACTATAGCTCATCTGGCCTTGCAAAATTTCCATTTTGATGTCTCCTTGATGAGCTGTTCTTCCCATCTTTATTTACAAGTATTGCTTGATTGATTTATCATATTTCCTAACCACCCATCTCCTTCAAAGTTGGCCCTGAGGTCAGAGTTTCCATAGGAGCATCCACTATGAGAATGTTAGGAAAGTCTATGACCACCTATGGGAAGAGTTTGTAATATTAAGCCTTAAAGAAAACATGTAAATAAAAATGGCACAGAAAGGAAGTAAAAAGAGAACATGAAGACATTCCTTGGTAGAGCTGAAGCAATGGTGGTTTCAAAACTGGGATGGAGCTAATCCCTTTCACAGGAAACAATATCAGAACTTTCAAGACCTGCCTCCAGAAAAAAGTGGGTAATATTAACAATGCAATGCTCCAGCTTGACATCACAGGTACTCCTTGACTTACAGCCATAACTGGAATCAGAACGACCATTGGTAAGCAAAGTGGTCATTAACTGAAGTCTGATGTTACAACTTTTTTTTGCCATGGAAGTTAAATGAATCACCGCAGTCATTAAGTCAAACACAGGGTCATTAAGCAAATTCTTCATCTCACATTGACTTTGCTTGTTGGAAACTGATTGGAAAGATTGCAAATGGTGATCAGGCAACCCCAGGAGGCTGAAACTGTCACAAATACATGCCAGTTGCTAAGTGCCCGGATTTTTATATAATGGCAGGAATGCTGTGTTGGTAATAAGTTTGAAGACCAGTCATAGGTCACGTTTTCCAGCACCATTGTAACTTTGTACAGTTGCTAAATAAATGATTGTATGCTGAGGACTATTAAAAAAAAATTAATCCTAAAACTGCTTTTAAATTATACTCCTAGGAACTGCAGAGTGCCTTCAAAAACCTAATACTGGACAAGTCTTTATCTTTAATAAGATGAAAATCAATCAAAGCTATGTATAAATTAAATAGTAGTATAATAAAAGCACAATTTCCATTGGAGGGGAAGGAGTGGTATTAACATAATTCATCTTAATTGTTTGTACTGCTTTGAAGACAGTGAGGATTGTATTTTAGCTTAGGATGAAATCCAAACTAAAAGTTTGTTTCTTGCATCTAAAGATCAGCCTGGTGAGTCCATAGAGTTGCTTATCTTATGTACAATCCTCCCTTAATGGATCTGAAAAGGGCTCCCAAAGGTTGCGTCTTTAGGAATCATTGATAACGTAATATTACACAGTTTCAAAATAATAGTGAATCTAAAGGTTAGAAGAATTTCGTGAAACTGATTTGGTGGTTATGAAATGGAGAATACAGACATTCAAATCTGCTTAGCATAGGATGACAAAATCTGTTCCAGAATTGTAGAATTGTAAAGTTGGAGGGAGGGTATGGGCTATCTCATCCAATATTCTTCCATTCAGCATACTAATTGAAATTAAAGCATTCCCACTAAATATCTGGCCAATTTCTGCTTAAAGCTGTTCACTAAATGAGAACTCACCTCAGTTCTCCTATTCTTTAGCTTCATTCCTTCTTAATTCAGTGCTATTAATCATCTTCATACAATAATAACAAATCAAACATCCAATCTGGATAATTTTTTGGCTATTAACTAAAATCCTAGCACTTCTCAATGTGGGCATTGTGGAAAGAACTGCAACATACCGTGTTTCTCACAAAATAAGGCCAGGCCTTATTTTTTTTTGACCCCCCCAAAAATGGCTAGGCTGTCTTTTCGGGGTGACTTAATTTCCTCCCCCACCAAGAGCGGCCCATACGTGAGGCCGCTTCTATCGGCCAATGAAAGCTCCCCGAAGGCAGAGTCCCCAGCTGCTTCGGGGTGTGGCGTGGCTGCCCATGTCCCCTCGCCATTAGGCAGTCTCTTTCGGGTGATGGAAGCTCCCCAAGTGCAGTCACCAGCCACTTCGATCAGTCGGGAGAAGCGGCCTCAGGGCGAGCGCGCACACACACACTCCCCTCGCCCCGAGGCTGCTTCTACCGGCCGATCGAAGTGGCTGGTGACTGCACTTGGGGAGCTTCCATCGCCCGAAAGAGACTGCCTAAAGGCGAGGGGACACGGGCAGCCACGCCATACCCTGAAGCGGCTGGGGACTCTGCCTTCGGGGAGCTTCTATCGGCTATTGGGGTATTCTAGCCTAGGCTACCTGCAGGGCACTCCTAAAGGCAAGTTTTCTCCCCACCCCCCGCCCTTCCCCCCATTTCTCTTCACCTCGTGTAGTTCTAACGAACGATGTGAGAAATGGCGGGGAAACGCATGGTTTAAATAGGCCTAAATTTTGGGGGTGGGGCTTAATTTCACGTCATGCTTAGAAATCATGCTGGGCCTTCCTATTGGTGGAGGCCGTATTGTTAGAGAAACATGGTAGCACTTAAAATAGAGAAGTATAACATTTGCTAAAGTGCTCTCTTTACAAGAGAGAAGGAAAAAGGGGAATTAATTAATCCACTGTCTTTCATAAATATCTCTTGTTGTTCAAAGTAACTTTAAGAAAGAAAAGAGGAAGGCTTCAAGCAGAAGTTCAGATAGGTTACAGGGCAGATGAAATGTTTAGATAGAGGAGTAATGAATGAGAAATATTTCCCACGGAAGCAGAACGAGGAACCAACATCTGCCCTGAAAAGTCTGTATCTATCTGTTCTATTAAATGGCAAATAATACCACTAATTGGTCTTAAAATGTTTTAAATAAACTCTATCCTCTTCAGTCTTTATCCTGCCTATCTTCATGGTGTTTTTAGGACAGCCTTCACCAAGTGGGCACTTTCCAAATACCATCAGACTACAAGTCCCAGGAATCTGTTTAATTGGAAAGTGTTGAGCCTGACAGCTTTATAGTACACCAGCTGCATGTGACAATGCACCATTCTTTTAATTTGACTATATTTGCTATTCTTTTTTTAAAAAAATCTAGACAGAGTATTCCTTAGAATGTTTTTTCTCCCTATGTTAAAATGTCTATTAGCATAAATCAGGGTAGACAACCTGTCTCTTTCCAAATCATCCAGAGTTATACTTCTCAGCATTTCTCACCCTGGACGGGGAAGACTAAAGCTGTAATTTAGCAGCATCAGAAGATATATAGATAGTCCACCATTAAAAAAATAATAATCTGCAGTTGCTGAATGCCTCCTGAATTTAAGCTGGATAACAAAAAGTTAACTCAGCAAGTTCTATTTCAAAGATGACCAATTCCAATGGATTTGAAAATTGCTGCACCCATGCTGCAGATTAGAATAATAAGCACTTCCTACATAATATATCAGAGAGCGAGAAGCTTTACATTTGAACCACTGTGGCATTTCAGGAGAGAAAACTGTCTCAACACCTATACCATCCAACCTTAGCAACTTTAAGACTAGCGGACTTCAACTCCCAGCCAGCAAAGCTGGCTGAGGAACTCTGGGAGTTGAAGTCCGCTAGTCTTAAAGTTGCCAAGGTTGGAGACCTCTGCATATACAATAGTTCTTAAAGTGACAAAAAGTACTTACGTGTTATTGAGGATTTGGAGACGTTCTCCTTTTTTGAAAGAAAGATCTGATTCTGTCCGTGATTCATAATCATAGAGGGCCACAAATGTTGTGACTCCACCTGGAACAATATACACTCACACAATTAAACACCAGTCCACAAGAAATTAATCAACATTGTTACTGCCTTATGAAAGGATAAGTAGTGAATATACTGGATCATTTTTGAAAGCATTGAGCTCTATCTGTAGAGGAACCATTTCTGTGTATTTGATTATTCTCCTTTTCTAGATAATAAAATGAATGAATTCATGAGCAAATGGAGTATTCTCTTTCTCCTTCTAATGTGGTCATTATTCAATAAGAATTTTTGGAAATGGTTTAAATATTATCTTCACAATTTTATATTATAGAATCATAAAACTGGGAAGTACCTTGAAGGTCTTCTAGACCAACTCCCGGCCCAGAGCAAGACCATCCCAGACAAATGGCTATCTAACGTTTGCTTGAAAAACTGTAGTAATGGAGCATCTTCAACTCCAGGAGATGAACTTTACAGCTCTCCTGGTCAGGAAAATCCTCCTTATTTTGAGTTTGGAAGTTTGTTTCATTGGAGATACAAAAGAATAGATTCCGCAAGTAAAAAAGTTAAAAATGTGGTTGACTATATTCGCACAACACACACTTGGCCTCATAAAGATATTAAATTAGTATCTTGGCTACCTAATATCTCAGTGAACTGTGCTAATGCAGTCATTATGTAATATGTATCCAGGCTGTGTCGTAATTTATAATTTACTATTCCATGAAAGCCTAGAAACTGGGTTAATTGAAGAAACCATGGGGAAGCCTTGAAAGTGCACTTCACTTTAATTCAGCCATCAACAAAGAAACCCTTAGATGCAGTTCTACAGAATGAACATCTTTCTTCTTCTGGACACTACAGTAGATCCAGTGCACTATATCAAAACAGCTGCTTCAGTGGTTTCAATTGTCATCTGCTAATAATGGCATCTGCACAGAAGACATTTCCACCAAAAAAAAAAGCAAGCTGGGCAAAGAGAAGGGGTTTGCCACATTTCAATTGGAGACACTGAGGAAGCACAACTTGCTTTCCCCCCATAATATAGTCTTGCTTTACATGATATAACCCAACCACAAACTGTGTTTATGCCCAGCCCTAATGAGTAAATCGTGTGGACTTTTGATCACTGCATCCTCTTAACCCTAACCCTTAGTTTTAAACATAAAAGAAGTATATATTTCAGATGTTCTAGATTAAAAGTCCCTCCTGTGACATACTGACCAGCTAAAGCACCACAGCGCTGAGGAGAAGTGACCATATCTGATGTATTTGACCCCCCAAAGAGCTTTGGTTCAGTAGCTGTATTTCCAAATAACCGACTAGGAGTACGATGAGTTTCTGGGACGGTGGTCTTGCTGGGGGTTTGAGAGGTAGAGCAGCTGCCATGTATATTTTCTGTGGAGTCCAAACTGCGTCTCCGTTGGCTAGGGTCTTTGGGTTTACTTTTACTGCTCCCCATGGTCCAAGCTGCAAGAGAAGAAGACAGCAAAGGCAATATTATATTTTTTGCTATGGGTGATAGGTTCTTCGATTCTGGAAGATGCAACAGGTTTTCTGGCTTATTGGATGGCCAGGTCAAAAATTAAGCAATTAGGATGAAGTGGCTGCTTTAAAAGAAGCACACTCTGTTCTGGCAATTATTTGGTCAGAGAAACCTGAATAGACGTGGGAAAGCTTTTATTCTGGTTACTGTCTATAGCACGAGTGTCAAACTTGATTGTGTCACGTGATGTATCATGATGTAGCACAATGTTTTTTGCCTTTGTGGAACTGGGATGGGTGTGGCCTGTGCGTGAGGCATCTAGCCCACGGGCCACCAGTTTGATAGGCTTGGACTGTAGCTTTGGTCTTATTGCTGGGCCTTGAAACACAAAAGCAGAAGCTACCTCTGTTATTCCATGAACAGATCCTTACAAATGCTTACCGAAATAACCAGGTTCTCCTTGATTTTCTAGGCTTTAATTTCAGCTCCAATAGTAAAGAAAAGGGTTTCAAGGACAAGAAGAAGGAACTTAAAACAGGGATGGGATTCTACAGGTTCGCACCTATTCGCTAGAACCGGTTGTTAACATTCTAAGCAGTTCGGAGAACCGATTGTTAGGAGAAATTATAGGCCTAATCCTGTAAGGAAGGCAGGAAGGAAACATTCTGGTGTTGCTTACAGAAACTGCCTCTTCGTTAACCCTTATTACATTCTTGGCAGGACTAGACTTCCTATCTCAGGAACTTCTCTGGAGTTTTTTCCCCCTCCTTTGCTGGTACTTTGCTTGTGTGGAGTGACCATTCAAAGTTACAATGGCACTGAAATGTGACTTATGACCGTTTTTCACACTTACGACTGTTGCAGCATCCCCACAGTCATGGGAGGCCAGGCAAGTAGATGCGTGCCTCGATGTAAGTGATATTGAGTTGGCCACACCCAACCAGTCACATGACCACCAAGCCACGCCCACCAACTAAGCCACGCCCACAGAACTGGTTGTTAAAAAATTTGAATCCCACCCCTGAACTTAAATCTTCCTTTGGATTTTCAAAACATGCCAGCATAATCATACGGTCCATTTAGCTTCATAATCTATATATGCCCTAAAGCTCAGCTGCTCTGGATAAAAGCTTGAAGTATGTTCAGGCTTAGGCCTGACTGAGCATATTATTCAAAGCACCTCTCCCAGAGGGTTGCTGCTGAAGCACATTTGCCTATATAGTACTGTAACAAGGGATGAATTTGACCTCTTCCTGACGTGTTTTCAAGGACTTTGGTTCAAATATACACAGTAACAAAAAGAACAGTGGTGTAGGAGTCACATCAGTTCCTCCAAAGAATAAAAGACAAGAATTATGCTCCCATCCCAAGGCAGCAGCAAATTAAATCAAACATATTGTCCCAAACCACATCATAATATCTAAGGCTACAAATTGAATAAGAACTATACCTTTTCTAATGATGCAAGGATGAACATCACCAAGAAATCATGTCCATTTTTCATTGCTTTGAAGAGATCCCTAAGCCTTTTGAATAGTGATCTAATTCATAGGCTGAGTTCAAACATCAACCAAGCCGTACCGAAGATTGTTTGTTTCTACTTGGCTTAGCATGATGATTGAACCTATACATAATCTTTTGCGAATTGCATGGTTGGAATGTAATGTGAGAAGCAAACCAATTGGTTTATTGAACAAACCATGGTTAAATAAACAATGATGTAAAACAAAATATGAATTCAGTCATGTACTTTTGAGATGAATGATTGACAAAGATGATTTAAAAAACATGCAATCTATACCCCATTATTTCAACAGATGGTTTAGGTGGAGGAACCTTCATGTGGAGGAGACATTGTACACAAAGATACTTTAATTCTTTTATTAGAGATTGCTCTCCAATCACACAAGAATTTCCATGCTAACAACTGCACTAAACATATGTTGTGCATTTCTGGTCCTGTTTCTCTATCTTTTTGTGTTGGCTAAGTATGCACAATGCACTTGACTAGGGTATTGAAATTTCTAGATTTACATAATACATTGAATCATTGCCTAATCAAAGTCATAGGTTTGTATATCAGGCTAAGCCACACACATAATAAGATTCCAGTTAAACAAGCTTAGGGGACACTGAAGAATTAAACCACTAGTTGTTGTTTTTTTTGCTGATCTGATTAAGCATGGTTCTGTGGATGCAGCCATTCTAGGTTCCTTATTCCAAGCATATTCCAAGGTATATGCTTTAAAAGCAGTTTTAAATATTTATCTTCACTTTGTTTAATGACCTTGCCCATTGATTTTACACCTGGTTTGCTGATGATAGGAATCAAACATGAATGTTTGACTGGAGAGAAGGATTTCTCTTCTACGTGTGCTTGTCTGTTTTAATCAAAATGAGATGAAGTGCTTTTGGAATAGCTGCTATCCCAAAGTCTGGTTTTTCACTAGTCTGACATGGCATAATAATGGAGCCTTTCTTGCAGCTGATTTACTAATGAGGACAAGTCCAAACTGGTATTCTTCAGAGAGAAGGACTGCAAAAGGACAAGATGTGTTAGATGTTCTCTGTCCTGATAGTAAGGCCCCCAGTATGAACCCTTTATTAATAAAAACATGGCTATTATATTACTTTAACTGCATTTACAAGCAAAAAATAATGGGATTTGTTTCGTAAACTTAGCCATTGTTGAAGGAATCAGTAACACGGCATCACATTTTACCTCCAGCTAAATTTTAAGAGAAACCAAATGGCTCCACCCTGAACTTTCTGTGGAGAATCCCTAGTTTTGTGTCCCCCAAAGCACTTGATGAATGCCTGAAAGGATGGAACGTTCTGTAAAATAGGCTCTACTGTGTAATTTCAGTCAAATAAAGGCTGAGCGGGCATAAACCAAGCTTCACCTTTATAATGGAATATTATAGAATAATGAGGAACATTGGTTTAACTCCTAAAAAAGAAACAAGAATAATGAGGAACATTGGTTTAACTTCTAGAAAATTTCCAATTTGCTGGCTAGATTTAGGACATCAGTGAGCATTATCAGTAATTAGATCAAGAACTCTCTTTCCCCAAAAGCTGGCTTCCATTCAACTCCCACATTCTATAAAAATGAGAATTGCCCAGACAAGGAGCAAACAAATAAATATTAAGTTCTGTATTTCAGAAGCCTGCAAAGAAATATAATCCTTTCATCTCCACCCCACCATCCCAGTTGCCATTCTGTCAGAACTAATTCTTTCATTCTCCCCACCATCTAGTAAGAACTGATGAAGCTTCTTGGATGAAAAGCTAAATGTCTTTGAGGGGAAAAAAGTCCAGTTGCCTTTTGAAAAAACACCTTTTAGACAATCATGACCTGGATGACTGAGAATCTCCCTTGGTATAAATGAAGGACTGCAATCCAAGTCCGATTATATGACATAGTTACGTCTTACCCATGCAAGTAGGGTAAGATAGATTTTTCAGTGGGCTTCAGAATCAAGCAAATTTGTATCTATGACTGCATTTATTTCTTCCTGTTGCTCTTAGTCCCAAACCTCTAATCATTTACTTCTTGGGGTTGTTGTAAAGCTTACTTCCAACCCTCCTCAAGGTATTTTTAGCACTTTATCTTTTCGTTAGTTAGACACTTTGCCATTCAAATGATACTTGGGAATGTGTTCTAGAGTTGTGAAGATATTTTAAACATAATGAAAATGAGCAAAACTTTGTTGAAAGCAGTATACAAATTATGCTAGTGAAAAGGAACAATTCATGCAGGACCCAATCTGGGTCGGTCTTTCCGAGCTTTCAGACTTATGCTGAAGCGCATCCTTCTCTTCTCTCTCACCAGAATGCCTTGGGCTATTCTATGCATAGGATTTATGCACTGCCTGGTTGTGTATGGCTTTTTAGTTTTTGATTGGGGTGTTGATTGCCAGTTAGTAAGTTGTTTTTTTCCTTGTTCTACCAAATCTTTGGCTCCTAAGTACCTGATAAGCTGGTGGTAAACCAGCACACCTGTTGACTGACAAGGAGCCTGCTTCCCAGACTTCAATCATTTCCCTGACTATTTTTGTACCTTCTTGGCCAATAATCTTAGTAGCTGCTAAACTGAATGTATGTCCTTGTTTATTACAATGTGAGGCTACCAATGAGTTCTCGTCTGACCACTCACTTGCATACTTGCAACCTCGTGGTTAGCTTCCTCCCCATCTGTCCTACATAGTCACAGGGGCAATCCACGTAGGTGAGCTGGTAGATTTCAAAAGTTCAGAATTCTAAACCTCTGGTCTTGGACCAACCCCAGATTGGATCCTCAACATTATCCTGGGACACATATATTTGCCTTCATTTGGAACAATTCATCCTAATGCTGCTATAAGCAATATCTAATATTTCCTAACAGATTATCCTGATGGACTCTTCCTTCTATTTTCCATCAATGACAGCATCCCCCCCCCCCCCCCCCGTGTGTGTGTGAGAGAGAGAGAGGGGGGGGGGAATAGAAGAGTTCCCAATGTTTGACTATGAAAATAGGATTATAGAAGTATCATATTTTGAGATCTCTTCTTTGGAAAAATAATGCAAAATGTCTGCCCTTAGAGGAAGAAATGCACAACAAAATAAACCTAGGAAAGTCATAACAATGCCAACTTTCTTCAATGCTTCTTTCATCAGTTTTTAAAACAGTTGCCAATTCCCTCTTAAAAGACCATGTTAACACTAGAGCTAGAATTAAAAGATAGAGCATAAGCTCCTTACACATACATGCCACATTTGTAAATCACTGACAGAAGGAGGAGGAGGCTGACTGCTTTTGTGACCTTTCATGCATGAAGAAGGGACAATTCTCCGCTCCACTTCTCTAAGTCAGTAGGACAAGAAAAGGAGGTGAAGGTTGTTAGTAGCCCATGGCTATCAACCCAGCTTATGCAGCAAAGTCTTTGATAAAGAAATAATGCCATTTTATCTAGAACCCACGAAGTCATCCTGACAGGGA